ATTTCTATCACACGTTCTCGCTCCTGTGGGGTCAAATTTTCATCTCCGATGTCCATCCCTGCTATCCTCTCTTCCGTTAGGCGTTGCGGCTCGTTTTTCTTTCTTTCTTTGATTTCTTTCGCGATCTCTTCTTCTGATMCCCCTTCCAGTGCCGATCGCTCGCGGCCCACCGCCGTTGGCTTAACCTTTTGAGCTACTCGCTTGTGTCGCTTGGGGAGCCCCCCATAGGGCGCCTTGCCCTTAAAAAAGACACGGATACCACACCGCCAAATTCCTCATCTTTTCCCTTCGGGTACGAGTTGTCGTCCACTATTAGCCGGCTTCCTAAATCTTCTACCTCCACCATCCTACCTGCTTCCTCTGTGAGCAGTGGTCCATATCTCTTCTCGCGAAATCGCACCACGCGGCCGGAGATAGGTAAAGACTTAATCTGATCACTGGGTCTTGCACCCACAGCGAGAGCTGCTCTGTTGCTCGGGTCCCGAGGCTCCACTGTCTCAATCATCACCCGTGTCCCGTCTGGCTTCCTAATGGACAATGTTTGACTCCCATCTGGTCGTTCTATCGTCACCGCATTCACGTGGCTCAGCCACGTTCGACCCAAGAGTAGGTCAGAGCTACAGTTCTTGACTGCAAAGACAGGCAGGGTCACTCCTACCCCTTGGACCTCTATGGCTGCCTTGTGACAAACCCCAGTGATCTGTTGCTTTCTCCCATCAGCCGTCTCTATCTCGAATAGGTATGACCTATCGAGGGCCAGTCCAACTTGTACTGCCAGGTCCTCGTCTATGATGACAGCCTCACTGCCGTTATCAATCACAGCATCGACTATCGCTCCATCATTTATAATCGTCTTTACGGCCCCGCTACCAAGTATATAAAACTTGTCTGGAGGCACACCTTCGATCCCATCGAGAAGGACTGTTGCCATGCGATCCGCTCTGGCTGTCACCCCCGTTACCGCTACTGTAGAAGCTTCTGCTTTAGGGGCTCCCTGACCCTCCTCTGATAGAGGTATGCGAGTCTTCCGCGTGATCATTTGTAATTCATCACGAGCCGGCTTCGATGCCGCCAGGTACTCCAGAATAGAGCACTGCATTGGTTGTCGAAGGGCCCGCCTCAGTGGCTCAACCGTGTCAATCTCGTCCAACGAACTCTTCATTAAGAACTTCTTGACTCCCCGCTTTCGCGGCGAAAGGATAACCTTTTCTCCATCGACCCGCTGCCCGTCCTTCTCCGTCATCACATAATCAGTGTCAGTCTTCTTCGATGTAGACCCTCTTGCTGACTTGGTGGTTGCCATCCTTATGGGTGTGGTCGCGATATCTCCCTCAAAGATTATCTTGATGCTCTGGCTTCTGACCGACTCCATTCCTTTACTCGTCTTTATTCTCCTTGCTTCGACGTTCTCCTTCATCGAAGGAAACATTGATACATCTCCCATATCATCTGCCCACTTGACGTACTTGCGGTCGTCAAGCACGACAAGCCCCTCGTCTATTGCCCGTTTGAGGTCCGGGCAATCCCTCTTGATATGATTTTCTCCTCTGCAGTAGACGCATGAGTTCCTGGGAGTAGACGCCCTGTCGTCTGCGTCTCTAGACATCGAATTCCTGGCAGCGTTGGGGTCAGGCGACTTTGGATATGGTTCTGATGAGACACCATATCCCCCTCTCTCATTCCGACTGCGCAAATTGTTGCGCCGGTCTCCTCCAGACCCTCCTTGCTCATACTGCCCTTGCGAGTCATTCCGGCGGTCCCCCGAGTCATAGCGTCCTCGTGACTCATCGCGTCGGTCCCCTCGGTTGTACCATCCACGCGTCTCGTCGCGCTGCTCTCTCGCATCTCCCCCGCGCTCAAACCGTCCGCGTGACCCATCTTGTCGTTCCCAGTCCCGATCTCCTCTCTCATATCTACTTCCTCTGTAGCCATCTCGACCCGACCTCTCGTATCTGTCGTCCCTATATCCATCCCGGTCCGATCTCTCGTATCTGCTGTCCCTCTCCCATCGGCCGCGGGAGTCGCCTCTACCCCGATCGGCCTCATAGCAAGGGCTTTGGGGGTAATTATCTATCCTCCTTGCTCGCACAAACAGCTCGCGATCTCTGCGGTCTCGGTCTATCTCATCGTCCCT